TCAAGACAGAAGAAAATAAATACATGTATTAAGTAACTAAACATGTTATAAATTAACAAAATATAATTAAGTATATTCAATAGGAGAGTGGAATTATTTCAGTTAAATTTGAGATCGTAGTCCACGTGTCAGCTTGTCATTTAAACTGATTCCTCTGTGCAAGCCAAGAAACAAAAGAGTTTTTGGAATTGCCTGCAGGGGAACTCAGTAACAGCCCTAACAGGCAGGTGTTTTTAAAGCCTCAACTGAAATGTGGTCTAAATAGATCTAGATGTTTATGTTTTCTCCTTTGTCTAGTACATACTTGTTTTTTGGCGGGATACGAGGCGAATTAATTTAAGAGTTTCATATCCTGGACCAGCGGAGGGACAGTTTTACATCTGAATATACTTCAGTCCCATATCCCCTTCCTTTCATCCTGTAACTATGGCATTCCACCTCTCACGTGCTCCTGCTGTGGTTCTAGGCAAGCTCTGCTCCTCCCAATTTAGTCAACCCTGGTTCACGGAGCCAATAACACATCCTTGTAGGTCAGAAGTGTTACGGCTTCCAGAGAGGACCTCCCGCTTCCTTTGGTCCTAAACATCAATTTTCTCATTTTGTTTTGTTTTGCTTTGTGTTTGTGTGCTTTTGAGACAAAGTCTTGCTGTGTAGCCCAGACTGGCTTCTGACTTGTGATCCTCCTGCCTCAGCCTCTCCAGGGAGGGGATTACAGGCATGCGCCACCATACCCAGTGTGACACAATGTTACTCCTCAGGTCAATATCTTGGTTCAAGAGAATCATATACCAGATATGCTTGTGTAATTGTTTTAGATGTCAAAGTTATTTATAAAAGATGTATACTATAAAAGATGTATACTTTTATAAAGAATGTACTACGTGTAGGCTGACAAGCTGTTTTCTTTGCTTAATAAAGAACGAGTGTCTCTTGAAATCCTGGAGCTAGAGCTCACCTGTCTTAGCGCATGGCTCCATCTTCTCTGCTTAGTAGGTCTCCTTTGCCAGCTGAAGGCTGGCACGGCATTCCTGCTGCCACACACACTCATGCACCCCAATCCGTACACAGTCGTGTGTGTCCCTCAGAGACAGAGTGGAGGTGGCACCTCTGACATTAACGTCAGCTGCTTTGGTTCCCATTCCCGTTGTGGGTTTGTTCCTTTGTGCTGTCTGTGTCACCCACTTAGGTTACAAGGCAACAATGTGTGTGAACATACATGGACTGAAGGGTGGGGAGGGGTGTGTGTTGCTTAGGTAATTCAGAGAAAGCATCCTGCACTTAAAAGACAAAGTGGTGAGTCCTGGAGCTGCTATTCCTTAACTCTGTTTCCCATGGCGTTAAATACCTATTACAATTCCATACTTGTCAGGGGCCAAATGAATTCAAAACACGCGCAGCTCAGGCTTCATCAGCCCTTCCCTGGATCCTGGGAACAGCTTGTGGCAGCTCTGTTTCATCCAAGGAAGCCTGGCTCTGGCGCAAGCAGGTTTGCTCGTCCTGCTGATGAGTTAGTTGTACTCACGTGCCAGAAACGAAACAACGATCTGGGGATGATTTCTGTGAAACTTGGTTTCATCCAAATGTGCTTAACACAGCCAAGAAATTTTGCCCTCGCTACTGTGAAATCGTTCAGAACCCAGGGCTGAGTTAACTGGGGCTAAGCTTTGTGCACGTTTGCAAAGCTGTGCACTTGGTTGCCTCACCCCACCCCCCACCCCGTCCCCGATTTTAATAGCTTTTGAGTCATAAATCTGCCTGGTTTTTCTAGTTTGGAGACTTTTTAGTGAGATTCTGAATACGGAACCTGCCAGACTAGAGGTTCATCTGGGGATGCAGCGTACTCTTGAGAATCAACAACTGTGCACGTTTCACCATGAAATACTTCCTAGCAGATGCTGAGGTTTAAAGCTGTGAGGTGGCAGGTTAGATAGAAGCAATAAACACAGTCCTGTCTTTATACTTTGGGAGTCAACAGAGGAACGTAGTTAAGTATGCACATGCAAGAATTGAATGAGTCAGTTTTAACACTGTCCCCCTAATTTTAGTAATGGGAACTAAAGTTTTTAGCTGAGGACCACTCTGTGCCTGTTTCCCATCAAACAACCTCAGTAAGAAACTGAATGAACTTAAGCCAAACTCCTAGCATACAGTAAATGTTCAACAAATAGCTATTCCTACTTACAGTTCAACTATTAAATGAATATTATGCTACTTTATGTAAGGACAATGATGATCACCAAATTAGAATAAATAGTGAGAATTCATCTTATTCAAATTAGTGTGACCTCACATAATTTTCTCCATAATTTCAAAGTTCTTTTTCAATGTACACTTAGTGTACTAAATGTCTTAAAACCCCACAAGTCCCTCTACAAAGAAGCTTTTTGAATGCATGACAATTTGATGACAGCCATCTGTGTCAGAAAATGACACACAGTATAGTGTTTGGGTACAGAACATGATTCCTATTTTAAACATCCTCATCCTTTAGACCTCAAGGCTTGAAATAGAGGGACGAGGGAAGGTAAGCAATGGCCCCTTCCTGATTCCGCACCAAGTAGGGCCTCCAGGATTAAAAGATGAGTCATTTAGTTACCAAAATGTGTGCATCTCATGCGAGTGTTAGACTGCTTCTGTGCTAGGGATGAAGTCAAGGCTACGTACACTGGGGCAAACCATGGTGTAGCCTCAAAAGGTACACCTGAGCTGGGATTCAGCTCCACCACATTTGCAAGAAAAAGAAAGACAGGAGAAAATTTCTCCTGCCATACGGAGCTTCTACGGTAGAGAATTAGAGTGAAAACAGCACCTGCTTATCAGGAAGTAGAAATAAATTTCTTAATGTGTGTAACGTGCTTGAGGAGTGCCTGGCCTATGATAAGCAGCTGTTATCTGTGACGAGCATATGATAAACAGACTAAATTTATTTGCTGTCAGAGCTAAGCAACTTGGCTTTATTTGCAATACTTCATTTTGTTCTAAAAATCTGGAGACTTACCTTTTATCTCTTAACTGGGTCTCCTTTAAACACAGCTCATACATGCATTTTTATTTTTGTATTTTCTATTTCATAGGAATTTCTGGGGATTGAAGGAACCATTTCTAAGTCAAGTTTTCCTTTGTGAGAACTATCAGTGTTAAATTATTTATCTTCGGGGCGGTTAGTCTAAAATCACTAACACTTTTTAAAATGGGTTATAGTCACTGTTTTATAAACTACTAACAACCATAACGTTGTAAGGAGCAGAGCTGTGGCTTGTGTCTGGATGTCCCTCTCAGAGTCCCATGCCATCATGGGAGACAAGCTTTGAGGAGGTGCCTGAATCTAGAATTCGCCATTGGCTCATTGTCTAGTGCTGGGATTGGCAGTGTAAGTGCTGCCCTGGGGCAGGGAGCTGCACACAACATAAGGGAGGGCTTTTGGTGCCTTCTGCAGCCATGAACTGTTGCCTCTCTGCCATAAGCCGACTTGCCTTGAGCCAGCTGATTATGGACTGAAACCTCCACAAACCGTGAGACAAATAAACCTTCCTGCCTTAATTTGGGTGTCAGATAGTTTGTCTCACCAATGAGAGAAAAGTAACTAAAACAGACAGTCTTCCCAAGGAGGCTGGTTTTAAAGTGGAGCTAAGCTCTAAACTCAGCACTTAAAAAAAAAGTAAAGCACTCAAATTTACTTGTTGAAGTGCCCTAAAATATAGGATAGTACGCTTTTCCAGCAGGTCTTCTGTTTTTCTCCGGCTTTGGAACAATGCATGTCTTCCATAGGGCATCTGATGAAAGAATTGGTTTGTATTCAATTAAAGGCCTTTTATATGACAAAATGTGTAGAGCTTAAACAGAGGAGTTTATACAAACCATCTCCTGTATGCCTCATAGTGATGTTAGACATGTTCTTATCTATTTTATTTGCAAAGGATCAACACAAGACAGAGTAAATCGCCTGCCAGTGGCTCCCATCAGAGGAATGGTGGAGGAGAATTCTGATCTCAGGCTCTTGAAGACAGAAGCTTCTATTTCCCTTCTACAATAGGTTTCTGCTGCTCGGACTTATGATTATATGGTGTTAAGGGACACAAATTGTCTTTCATCCTGCGGAAGACTGTTCAGTGTCTGTTAGAGAAAAAGCTGAGTTTCAAGTTCCTCAGCTGCAATTAAATATGTAGATGTGGAGATAGTCCAGACAGGACTCAGGAACTGATTTAAAAGAAGTCCCAAGAGTTCTTTCGTTTGAGCAGGCAGAGATTTAGAGAGGGATAAAAAGGACATTACGACTCTGCTGGGTTTGAGAGCCATAAATAACTTATGCAGAGAAGCCGGGAAGCCTCAGTGCTGGCCGACTTGGTGGCAGTGCATCTGAACCCAGGGCTGGCTGGGAGGCCCCTGGGACGCGTCTTTCCATCTTTTGGTTCTGGAGCTGCATCTCTAAACATCACTCATAAATATGCTGAAGGGAGAGAAACTGGGCAGGGTTCAGCTGGTTCCTGGAACGCCCCTAAAAAAGGAGACCAGGTAAGGCGCCTTCCTCTCTCATGGTGAGGAGTGACAAGCCCAGGAAAACTGACTGTCCAGTGGCCACTTTCACTTCCCCAGCGTGCACTTTACCTGTCTGTCTCCCATGCAGGACTCCAAGAGTGACCGAGAGACGGATGCCACCAACTATGCACAAAACACCCGGGCCTGCCTACCAGCTGGCCCGGAGGAAGAAGAGGGGAGGCTCGTGGCCCCCAGTGGTGGATCAATGCGGTTAGAGGAAAGATGGCCAGTTCACTGATGGCCAGACCCCCTACCGATGACCACCTGAGCAGCACATCTCCCCTCTTTAACTGTCACGTGAATGAGGCCACAAGGGAGGGACCTCGTCCTTCATAAAGATCCTTTCCTTTTGTGCTTGCTCTCGCTAATAATTTCTTTGCATTTTAACTGCTTTTTTCTAACTATACATACAATAAAGTCCAACATAAAAAAAGAAAAAGGTGTAAAAATAAGAAAACCATCACTTCTAATATCAAAGATCACGTATTTACTATACCTACTTTACCTTACAAAACTGAGAAATATGTGGATAACAGTAACAACAATAGTGATGAAATAGCTTATTGCCAGTCTCAAATTGCATCAGTTCACTGAATCAAGGCAAGCCCGGACACAAGGCAAGCAGTTTGACACTTTCTGCAGGTCCAATCCAGTAGGGTACCTTGAAGGAGTCACATTTCTTTTTAAAGGAGGAAATGTTACTTAACAGCTACATCATCTCACCATCTGTGAACAACCAGTGAAAACCAACATAAGGAATCAGTTCTGTGTTCTGCTCATCTGAAACATCAACAAAGGCCCACTTCAAAGGCCGTTAGAATCAGCAGTGGCAGAATTAGCAGTCTAATCTCTGCTCTGTCAAGACTTTGTATTTTGCCCACTCTTTTGATGGTCTTCCATGAAGTTCTACTGTTCTTTTGAGTTTTACTGTCTTTAGTCATGAAACTATTAAAAATAATGCTGATATACTCTACTAATATTTTTGAAAACATAATTTTTAAAAAGCTAGCACATCTTTTAAAAACTTTGCTCAACTACAATTTCCTAACAGAACTGTTTGGAATATAGTTTAATATTGAACAACAATTAATAGAAATCTTAGCAGAGGGAGTCATATTTCCCCACCCTGGCTCTCTCTTCCCTTTGGACTTCGGTTGATATGCATTTTCTCCCTTTCTCTACTAATTCTGAATATTAATTTTCTCCTCTAGAACTCAAAGGCAATTTATGATTTAAAAATCCTTTAAGGTTACTGAATCTTAAAGTGTGCTTTCTTAATTAAAAGCTTAGCGTTAAGCCCTTACAGAAGATTTATTATTGTGAGACACTTTTGCAAAACATTTTTTCCCCTTTGGATTATATCTCAAATCCAACCATGACCTGTAAGGTAGACACTGGTGGTACGTTCCATTCATTGTTCCCTTATCTTACAGCCACTATATCATTTCACTCAGGTGTCAAGTTGGAAAATACGAGAGCAGAATATTTTAGGCACTAATTTTCTATTTTTCTTGAGTGTATTTTCCTGGAATTTGCATTTAACAATGAGAGGCCAAATTGGAATCATTGCCACACTGTGGCCGTGAACCACAGAGCAGCAGGGAGGGCTCAGGAAGACCATCTAGTCACGCCCAGAGTAGCATGTGGCCCGAGGTGGCCACATTCATTCTATACGAATTTGCATCATACGCTGCGATTGGACGAGCATGGAGAGAAGTGGGCACCTCTGGCTTCCACTGTGCAGAAAACTCCAAGTCTTCCTACGTGCCATAAACGTCACGGTGGTGGCCCTGGCACTTGGTTCTCAGCTCACATCTCAGAGGGCCTCAAAGATTGGTTACAGCTGTTTTTTTGCTTTTTTGTATTTTTGTATTTTGCCATGGTGTAGGATGAAGTCTCTTCACAAATCTCATTAGAGTCTCATATGAGGACTTCCAAAATTGAATCTCTTGGATATAAGCTAGAAAAAAAAAAGGTATTAGACACAGTTGTTGCCCATCTAATTTTCTAAGAACAATTGCTTACATGACATAGACATCAAATTTGTGTTCACATTATACCTACATATGTAGGATACACATAATACTTTCTTTGCATGGCTACAATATTATGTGAAAAGAGTTTCATTTTTCAGTTCCATAATATTTATGCATTTTAATTGCATCATCTGGTAAGTGAACATCAAAAAAATTTTTTTACTTTATTTATTTATTAATTTATTTTTTTGGTACCAGGGATCAAACTCACAACCTTCCGTTTGCCAGGCAGGTGCTTATGCCACTGAGCTAAATCCCTGACCCTATAAATTTCTTTATGCTTTTTTATTCTTCATGTTGTCTACTTCATACACTGACAATTACAATTTCCCTCTTTTTTATTTATCTTACAATTAATTCAGTATTTGAGTGAGTAGAATAGGTATTTTTTCATAATTAGTTCTTGTTTATCTTTTTATAAATAACTGTATACCTTTCATTAATGAGCTCAATCTAATTTTTATATGAATCACTTTTATTCACCATTTTGAGAAGTAACTATTACTCAACTAATATTGCATTTCTTCAAGAGGTCTTTTTCAGAACAAAATTTACAAAAAATAGTGATGACATTTTAAAAATGGTATAAAAAGGGACATATTATGTTTTTTAAAAGCAGAATTTTATCCTAACAAATCTTTTACTGCTTGCATTAAATAAGGATATACTATGGGGTAAGAATGAAACTTTGACAATTGCCAGGCCCTCATTGGAACATTCCAGAATTCATGGTTCATCTTTCAGGAAATGTTTTATTTATTTTTATTTTTATTGTTTGTCGGTACCGGGGATTGAAGGAAATGTTTAATAAGATGCATGCTCAGTAGAATGAAATTTGAAACCAACTGGAGATCCTAAAATCCTAAGATCAGCATTCACTTAACTCAAAAGAACCTTTAATGCCTCAGAGATCTCCTAATCCCCTCCCAGTAAATATTCCTGCTGTTACGTATAAAAACTGTCCAGAAACTAAGGGTTCCTGGGCAGACAGAGGTGCAGGTGTCTTCTACAATGTATGACTAAAACCTGGGAGCGCTCACACCTCTCCATGAACTGATTTTAGAAGCAGATTCAAATGAAAACAGACTCAAAGGGCTTTGAGGAAGCAAAGGAAAAGGAAAAATGAAAGAACAACGTAGAAACACAATACAATGTCTGCTTCAGACAGCAACAGAAATGTCCACAGTTTTTCCCAAGCGCCGTAGAGACTGCCGGTCAGCCTACGCACTGACCTGCACCTAGGGGACTTCCTGACTCAGCCTCAGGCAGGCTCTGCTGTCCTAAGCTCCGGGGGTTCATATTACCTGAAACAAATGCTACTTTCAGTTTGGAAGCAGCATTGATAGTTTTGACTCTAACCTGTGCACAGAGAAGAAAAGCTCAAAGACTTCCTATGAGCAAGATTTCAGGAAGAGGAAGGACGTGGGGTCTTGGTAACTTTTGAGTTCTTCGATCTAAGGTTTTATAATAAATTTGGCATTTAAAGAGGGATAATGCTCTGGTTCTTAGACCAAAATTTCTTTTTGAGAAAGAGAGCGGGGAGGATAGCTGGAGAATAAGAACAAAAGAAAAGAATAAGAAATAAATTTATCCAAGAAGTACAAGACTGATACACTGAAAAGTATAAAAATTGCAGAAATTACACACCTAGCCCAGGTGTGGTGGTACACACCTGCAATCTCAGCACTCAGGAGGCTGAGGCAGGAGGGCTACGTGAGTTCAAGACCAGCCTGGGCCACATAGTGAGTTCAGGACGAGCCTGGAAAAAAAGAAAAGAAAAAGAAATTACACACCCAAAGAAAAAGAAAGACATCTCAGGTTGATGCTTTAGAAGATTTAGATTATTAACATGGCACACTACTGACAGAGATTTATGGGTTCATTATATTCCCTACCAAAATCCCAATGGATTAGCCAGGTGTGGTGACACCCAGTTGTAATCCCAGCACTCAGGAGGCTGAGGCAGGAGGATCAATACATAAATAAATAAATCCCAATGGCTTTTTTTTTATTGTTTGCAAAAAACCAATCATAAAATTCATATTGGATTCTAGGGAAATCCAAATAGCCAAAAAAATTATGAAAAAAGAGTAACAAAATGATAAAATTCACAATTCCTAAGTTCAAAACTTTCAATATAGAAAAAAAAACCCACTGGTAATCAAAATAGCTACTAGTGTAAGGATCTACATATTGAGCAATACGTCTAGTAGAATAGAGAGACCAGAAAAAAACTTATTACATATGTGATTGATCGACTGATTTCAATAAGGGTACCAAATCCACCCAAAGGGAAAGAATGGACTCTTCAGCATGTAATTCTGGGGCAATTGGATATTTACATACAAAAGAACAAAACTGAGTCCCTATTTCACAATATATATATCAAAAATTGCTCAAAATAGACCAACGACCTCCATACAAGAGTTAAAACCAAAACTTCTAAGACTCTTAGAAAAAATATTGCAATAATTTTCATGACATTTCTAGCAATAAATTGTTAGATGTGACCCCAAAACACAACTAAAAAAGAGAAAAAATAGATAAATTTAAAATTGCTTAAAAACTGTAGTCAATCAAAGAAGACTATCAGGAAAATGAAAAGACAATGCACAGGATGGGAAAAAACTGTTTGAAAATCATCTACTGGTCATCTGGTATCAAAAGATCTATAAAGAAGTCTCCTAACACAGAGACAAGCAGCTCAACTGAAAAGTCATCAAAGGACTCAAAAAGACTTTTCTTCAAAGAAAATATACAAATATTGATAAATATATGAAAACAAAAAATAGTCCTTGAAGAGATGTAAATCACCATAACACCAAGATACTGCTTCATACGTAATTCAGACTTATTAAGATAGCTGCAATTTATTAGATAGACAATAACAAGTGTTGTTCAGGATGTGGAGGAACTAGAACCGTCATTACTGATGGTAGGAATGTAAAATAGTACAGCAGCTAAGGAAAACATTTTGTCAATTTCTCAAAAAACTAAACACAAAACTACAATACATTATACCAATACCATTCATAGTACCAGTCAAAGGTAGAAATACCCAAGAATTATTCAGGTGAGTGGATTAACCAGTTGTGGAATGTCCATGAAATGGAACATTTGTCAGCTATAAAAAAGAATGAAATTAGGTCTGGCTTTAGCCCAGCGATTCCTTAGGGTTAGGGTCAGGATTAGGGTTAGGGTTAGGGTTAGGGTTAGGGTTAGGGTTAGCTTCCCAACCGCCCGGGCAGATTAGTCCGGTGGTTTGAGACCTGCGGGCGCTCTCCAGTCCTTTTAAAAAAAAAATGAATGAAATTTCTTGGATTCACCTCAAAAACATCGTGCTAAGTGAAAGGGACTGGATAAACAATGCCCGACTCCAGTTACATAAAGTGTTTAGAAGAGTTTGTCCACGAAGATGGAAGAGTTAGTGGTTGCCAGTGACTGGAAGAGGAGGATATTGGAGAATAAAGCTTTAAGTTTCCATTTTGAGGAGCTAAACCATTTTGGAAGTGGATATAGATGTTGGTTGCACAACGTCATGAGTGTGCTAAATGCCACTGAATTGCACACTTTAACACGGTTAATTTTATAAGCATTGTAACTCAATAAAACATAGTTGAGCAGGACAAGGACGACAAAGAACATATTGTGGCCACTGGCAGTTATTTTGTGACTGTACATTTGTTGATACATGGATATTTTTATCATCTTCATTATGAAATAAATTAGGTTGAAAATCAAATAAATGTTCAAAATTTATGATTAGTAAGTTAAGACAAAATAGAGGAAAATGAGAAAACAAAAGAGAAAGAGGACAGAGTGTATAAGAAAGGGAGCATGCGTGGGGAAGACAACAGAACGCAAGAGGAGAGACAGGGAAGAAAAGATCAAAACAACAGGGCAACGAAAGAAATGTTAGAAAAAGCCAGAGCTAAATATCTTAAGTCGAGTAATACCGAGTGTTAGTAGGGTTTGTGCAGAGGACAGGGCAGGAGAGCTCTCCTACAGGACGACAGGCATCCGAACAACCTCAGCCACGTGCAAGAGTTTGTCAATTAGTAATAAAATAAAAATGGACCTAATTCTGGGCTTACCTCTTGATGTAGATCTTTGAGAAATTGTACATGTGCCTCAAAAGTCATGCACACACACACACACAAATAAAATAAATCAAATTTTTAGAAAGTCATGCACATAGCATTATGCATCAAAATACTAAGAATACACATCTAGCTAATAGGATGGATACATTGATGTACTAATACTACAATCATATGCAAGCATTTAAAAGGATGATTTACAGAAACGTGTGTGAAGGAAACAGAGTTGCAAGCTATGTTGTTTGAAGATGGTTCACAAATATACTATATGGCATTGTATAGATTTACTACTTGTATAGTAAAAATAATAAGAAAAAGAAAGAGAAAAAATTAGGGAGAATTATTGAGGGATTAAAAATAAAGGACTCGGGGCTGGGGATTTAGCTCAGCGGCATAAGCGCCTGCCTTGCAAGCAGGCAGTCGTGAGTTCGATCCCCGGTACCGATAAAAAGGAAAAAGACCAAATAAATAAATAAATAAATAAAGGACTCATGGAAGGAGGAAAGAGATGGGAGAGGGGAGAAGGGGAGCGGAGGGGAGGGTACAAGTGTCACTGCAGCTGCAGACAGGGGCAATTAGCAAGCAAGTACACGCGTAGACCCGGAGGCTGAGGTGGATGGAGAGCAGGCTGCCCTAGAGGGGGAAGCAGAGACTGGTGGCTCACACGAAAGCTTGAGGATAGGTTGGTGAAGAGACATGACTCAGCACTGTGCTTGTGCCTAGGTCTTCACCAGAAATACTGCTGTGCAGCTGGAGGCCCAGCTGTGTCTCCGGCTAACCACAGCGGAGAACTGGGAGGACCTGCGGAGAGCGAGCCCTTGGGTCTCAGAATGCAGTGTCCGGAGCAGACGTGCAGCTGGTTGTTCCAAGCAGTCCCGCACGTCGTGGGACACTGTTCCTGCACGGTTTTTGTCTCAGGGAGACTCTGCTATGGTACACGGAGGGAAAAGCACATGAAGCTTTGAGGAAACAGAAAAATTAGCACACAACAGGATAGTAATATTTAACACAACATTCACCAAAGACTGGACTGCCTCTGCTCACTTGCACGATCCGGGGGTGAATGAGGAGCCAGGCACGGACGGACTGTCCTCTGCTTAGACCTTCAAACAGCTGCAGCTGACCTGCTGTCTAATCTGGTCTCACGAGTGCTTGACGGGAGAGACTCCACTGCTGAGGTCGTTGGGTGAGAGAATTCAGTCTTCTATGTCTGGAGAATGGAGGGCCCTGATAACCGCTGGCCACCTCTGGGAGGACACCCACACTTCCTGCCTCCAGGGACTTCCCCACAGGCGGCTTCCTTCATCAAGCCTAATGGGAGTCTCCAGAGGCAGTTTGCTAGCAAGAGGATGCTTCATGATGTGTCGTAGTCATAGAGTGACAGTTTCCACCGTCCCTACATTGGTGTGTCACCGAGCCCCTAACCCACAGTGGAGGCCGTCCCACCACGCAGATCAGGTGCTGCAAATCATTGGCACTACCCCGGGAATCTGCCACGTAGCATCTCCGTTGTTTCTGAGTTTTTGATTGGTAACAATCCTGAATATAATCCTTACATTTGTAAAACGTTGAACACTAAATAAGAAGCCAAATCTAAACCCAGATTACATCTGACCCCAAGGTGCATAACTTTCCTACTTGTGTGGCCATATTTTAAATTTGTATGCCCACACTGTGGACTGTATAAATTCAGTTTAAACTGGGTTTCCAACATCTGAGCAAATTTTCAGAATGAAGAGTAAAAGCAAAGGTCTGGGAGTGGGTGGTTTCTAGCCATTTACGGTGGACAGGAATTCCAATGTTTTTTGACTATTAGTTGTAGCATCAATAACGAGGAGGTGATTGGCATCTGTCTTCACTGTGTGCAGTTACGGTGGGTCTCACACCGACTCTTGGTTCGTTCCCGCCATCGCTGTTACCAATATTGTTACATAAAACGAAGTGACCAAAAGGCACAATCCAGGAAATCCTTGCACAGCTTTTCACCGGTCACCTAAATAAAACAAAACTTTGGTAACTGCACGAGAACACAAATTGCACTCGATTATTGGTTTAAACTACACACGTTCGCTTATTGCAACCTTTGTGTCACTTGAATTTTTAATTTTTTATTCGTTTATGGAAGTTTAGGCCCTCGCCCCATTTTTTTCCTACCCACCACCCAGGCTCATTGACTTGGGCAGCGCCAGTGAACCCCTGTTCCCTACGCCCCAATATTCCCACCCGGCTGGTCATTCTGTCCTGGGCTTGCTCCCTGTGCTGGGCAGCGGGGTGCCTGTTCCATTGGCTGCCGGCGACGACCGCGGATTCTGGGCTCATCTTACAGTGGGAGGGCGCGGCGGCTCCGCGCCGAGGACGGTTCTGGAAACTTTGCTCCGCGGCGGCCACCAGGACCGGGCAGCGAGGGGCCGGAGCCCGGGGAGTGCACCCCACCCCGCCCCCCCACCGCACCCCACCGCACCCCAACTCCACCCTCACCCCCACCACATCCCACCGCACCCCAACTCCACCCCCACCCCACCGCACCCCACTGCACTCCACCCTAACCCCACTGCACTCCGCCCCCCCCACCCTACTACACCCCACCGTACCCCATTGCACCCCGCTCCCACCGCACCCCACCCCGCCCCCACCCTCACCCCACTGCACCCCGCCCCCCCACCCCACTACACCCCACCGCACCCCATTGCACCCCGCCCCCACCGCACCCCACCTCCGCCCCGCCCCGCCCCCACCCCACCCCCGCGGGCCCTGCGCCCCCCGGAGCCCGGGCGCAATCGCAGCGCGCTGCGGCGGCGCGGAGAGGTAAGGGGGACCCGGGCCGCACCCGCACCCGCACCCGCACCCAGGGCGCCCCAGAACTTCGCGGGCGCGGCCTCCGCGCAGCCCCGCCCCCGGGTGGGGGCTCGAGCCGGGGACCCGGGGTGTGGGGGTGCGGGGGGGTGCGGGAGGGGCCCCCAAAACCAGCAGGAGTCGCAGGGGAGGATAGTGAGCGGGGGACCCGGCGGTCCCGGGGTTCACCTTGAGAAAGTCCAGGCGTCGCCGAGCGCCCCCACCGCTGAGCCGGCGGATCAGGGTCCCCTCTCCCCGGGGAGCTCGGGTTTGGGGTTCGCTCGGTTGGGGGCCCCTGCGGGACGAACGAGATTTGCCAGCCGCCGACTTCCCTTGGTGCGAGTCGGTTCCAGGGGGACGAGTTTTGGTGTCTGTATTTTGGAAAAAGATTAAAGGTACAGAATCAAAATACTGTCAGGGGACAGGGCAGTTTATGTTTTTGTTTTGGTTTGTTTTGCCACGAGATACTTGTAAACAATTTTAAAATAGTGCTTTTCAATAATTTTTAAACATACACAACGCATTCACGGAAAAGTAGAATTGGACATAATTTGAATAACTAAATTTACTGAATTTTTGAGTAAATTTTCATTTCTAATTCCTATATTGTTACTTTTGAATTTGCAGATCCGTGAACTGCAATTGAATTTGATAGCATCCTTTAAAACACTTTTGGTGCCTGCTCACATTAAGTTTGTGGGCGTTTTTTCCTCTTGTTTTTAACTCGAGGAACCGTTGGATGGAAACATCGCTTGTGCCTAGTACAGTAACTTGGCATTGTTCTCGTGGCAGACAAACCAAATGAGAGCTACATAAAAATTGGCTCTCGTTTTGCACATTTGCAAAATAAGGGGATTTAGCCTTTCTCAGATCCCAGACAATCTCTAAGGTTCTTCCTTGTCCGAAGAATTCTGTATACATCTTCAGGAGTCGGAGATACAAATATTAACTTAAATCTAGATTAAGATAGTATCTGCCCACAAACTTTTATACATTTAAATGGAAGGCACTTGATGGTTGAGTTTCTTTGGTCATAACAGTCTCTCAGAATAGCCGAACCACTGTGCATCCTGTGATCTTATATGGTTATATTGTATGCTACTAAATAAAAATGTGTCGTGTATCCCAAGTCCCATACCTCCTTGCTACAACAATAATAGGGTTGACACATTAGCACATTCATGCTGGTTTGTTTTGAAATAGTCTGCAGGAAACATCAAAAATGTTACAAAGCATTTACTACAATATACAAAGATACGTTAGCAACGTTGCAGACAAGAACTTTCAAAAGGAAATTCCAAAAATATGTGAAAAATATTTATGATAGGTTCACAAGCCTAAACACTGCAGTTGAGGTAGTTATTGTAATGATGGTATTGGTCAGGTGGTTTTATAGCCCATCAAAGAATGAATTTGCCTCTAATTAATAGGTAAGTATATTGAATCAATTAGGATTTTCTCTAAGGAAAAGACAAAATGTTTCTTCCTTCTGTCAAACGTCTAAAGTCAAAGCTACAACAGGTATTCTCTACATTAAGTAAATAAGTAACAAAAAATTGCTGATTTAAATCACCTAGAGGATAACAGAGATGCAACCCCGGAGACACAGGGGTTAATTCGTGCATTCCTGAAACAGCCTGGGGTGGAGTCAGCGTGAAAGGGGACACTTAGCCTGCAGTAATTAATGTTCAGATTGCAGAGCTGCTGGGACTCCTAGTGCATTGCTGTTTTGAGATCCAGTGCCTGCTCGTAGTATGAGGTAGCACAGCTAATCTGGGTTCTCCCTGCCTTCCTTGGAGGTTGTCTACTGACTAAAACATACTGTAGGCTGAATAGAGGAATACAGTGTTGATTTCAGTTTTCACAAATTTTGAGGTTTTTTTTTTTTTTTTTTTTTTTTGAAACAAAAGTGCAGGCTGGCCTTGAACTCACTATGTAATCCAGACTGGCCTTGAATTTGTGACAATCCTCCTGCCTCAGCCTCCTGAGTGCTAGAACGACAGGCATGTGCCACTACGCCAAGCAATTTTCAGATATTTGATGTGACAAAGTCTTGGTGTCTGTTGAGTCTGGGTATATGGGTAGTGGTTTATTTTATACTATTTTTTCTATTTTGTTTATGTTTAAAATTATTCATTGGAAAAAATTAAGTACAAATGTATAAAAGCACATGAGACATTTGTAATTCCACATTTCATTTTTTGCTTATATGTATTTTGACTAGTATGTATGTATTTCACATGTTTAAAAATGGACACACTATATAGGGAATAGGTGAGCAGAGAATGGTCTGGGAAAAAATCCATGGTGGTCTTCAATATTTTGTGGATTTTTTTCTTCATTATGAAAAAAAATCTAAAAAAAAATACGACATTGTTAATGTTTGTTCTGAATGTTGGGGTCACACATTTTTATTATACTCTGTGACATTTTTGCTTTTAAAATTTTGAGCTAAATGCAGTACACTGTACACACTCATTATCCCAGCACTCAGGAGGCCGAGGCAGGAGGATTGGCATGAATTTGAGGCCAGCTTGGGCTACACAGTGAGGTACATAGCAAGACCCTGTCTCAAAAAAAGTAAAAGAAAAAAAGAAAGAAAGAACTGGGTGTACAGTTCAGAGTTCAGTCCCCAGTGCCAGAAATGAGGGAAAGAAATAGAAAAAGGCAAGAAAAATTTAACATACAATCACCTTATTGTTTTCTAAAATCATTATAAAGAATCCAGATAATGCAGATAATATACATATACAAAGAAAAAAGTTAGAATCCTACTGTTCAGGAATTCTAACCTGTAATATTAAGTGAAAATATTCTTTATGTCTTTCTGTGCACTTGTACAAACAATATATTGCTGTAGGACAAAAATGGTTATATAAAAGATATTTTGTTAAATAAGCAGAAGACATTAGCTTGAGCCTCTCCCTACTTTGAGTTCCTTTATAAGAAACTGTAACTTAATTTTGTATGTGAAAAAAATCAAAACCTAATTTAAAATTTTTTTTTGTAACAAATAGCAAGGTTTCACCCAGTCACAAAAAGCTGAGTTTTAGCCAATCACAGGCAACCACGTTGCCACGTCATCCCCAGTCAAGGCAAGTACACAGCTGTAGCCAATCAAGAGCTTTCTCTGCTGGCTTCTGTCTCAGGTTTATGAAAATCTGCTGCTTGTGCTGCTGGGTCGGTGCTGAACCTCTTCTGGTACTGAGTTCTGCCTGACTCATGAGCTGTTTTTTTGCTCAAAGAAACACTACAATTTAAAGATTTTTCTTTTCATAGGGAATTAATAGAGATGTTTTTAAAAATTAAAATTTAATAACATTTTTACTAAAAGAAGAAATGATAGTCAAGGTGAAGGAATCACTGAATTTAACGTCAGTGTTTCTACATCTTGAGAGATAATAGGTCCTGAGCAAATCTGCCAAATTAAAAGATCTCTGGGTACATTCCAAGGTCAGAGTGTTTAAATGTGCATGTATTAATTTAGGCAGGCAGTGGCTGCCTGTTAGAAGTGAAAAGGCATTGGCGCATTTATTGTATACCTCCTATAGAGTCAGCTTTTTATTTTTGATGTGAGATATCAAACACTGGCGTTGTTTTATAAATTTCATCTTGTATATTACAGTAGTCTTTCTTTCATAACCAAATAGAATCATTGTTAATCTCAAATAGCAACTTTAAAATTTTGATTCATTCTTTGACATTTTGTCATGATGAGGTGTGTGTGTGTGTATTTCCAAGAAGGGGTTGGTCTGTGTGTCTTTTCATGGCCTTTTCGTGTTTAGCATTTCCATCTTTTATTCCCATGTTGGATTACCACTTGGCCTGTTGTGACATTTTTGAGCCATGGTTTGTTACCTCAGAATCAAGTAGCTCTTCCTGCGTAACTCTGTGGCATCTATTGTGACTGCAGAATCTGACATCAGCTTCCAAAGTTTTCCACATGTACCTGGCTGACTTTTTCTGCCTGGACTGCTAAAGTATTTTTTTTTTTCTATTTTTGAGGTTCAGGAACTCAGCTAGGCTATTTCATAGCTGGGTTCTGTATCAGTCTTTTCATGGGAGTTGTACACGCTTTGTATTGGAGTAATCTGTCCCTAATTTTAGGATGATTTTTTTCCCCATGATGAAAGCTTCCATCCATATTGCAATCTGTCCTTCAAAGACATCAACAATTCTTATGATGTTTTTTGCCCTGCATGTCAATTATGTTCTGTCTTAATTTCTTACTGCTCTTTCTGTATTCACATTTTAAATGATTAAAAATGTAACTCATTTACAAATGAAAACCTGGCATGGTATAAACAATTACAGATCAGGAATGAGCATATCAGGGTTCTAAATTGGCCACATGTTTCACCAAGAGGTTTCCTGGCTTGAAAAATAGGAAACTAACCACCTCTCTTTCCTGCCCCCAGTACTGTTAGGGCTGTGAAATAGTATAGAGTCCATCATACGGGTTTTGGCTTAGTTCCTACTCAGCAGATGTTTGTTGTTACTCCTTACTGAGTTTCCCTTTCCATTCAGGATGGGGAGGAAAGGTGTTACAAATCACGGTGGGAACACATGTTACATTAGAAGCCTTCTGGAAGCCACAGCGCATGAATGATAGATAATGTGGTGTTTCCTCTGGTATAAAAAGAAATTTCATCTGGCAGCAGACAAGAGATAAATGCAAACGTGTTTAAACCGTCTGTTTGGCATTGTAGCTTGTGTTTTGTTTTCTGTTCTTTGTGTTCAAGCTTAAATGAAATCTTGGTAACTTTTGGAAACTCTTCATCTGGTGGAGCGTCTTTGCCCAGTACTTGTTAAGATAGGAAAGGAGGTTTCCCTAAGAATTCTGACTTCGCTGTGGGGGAGGCTAATCCTGACAATAACCATAAAAAGGCGTAAATGGAGTTGATTTAGTCTAGATTCATTTCTCCTACTAGGGATTTAGGAGCTCTGAGTTCTCAAGCCTGCCGATCAGCAGCTGGTAGCCAGATCTGGCCTTGAAGTCTTGCCTGTATAATCCTGGCCCTTAAGTGTTTGTAAACATGTTATTTACCTACAGTTCAAAATCAGGAGAGTCTCATAAAACCTAGATTTCTGCCTTATCTTGAACAACCAGGTGATCTGAAAACCCTGGGCTTCCTCACTAGCTGGAGCTTAGGAGGGCTGCGCCTCGGTGGGCACGCTGGGCACGCGTAGTGAGGTGGTTTCCTCTGGCCCTCTTTCACTCATTTCTGTTGGCTGACTGGTTTCTGCAGGAGCCATTAGTGTGTCCCCTGGCAAGGAACACACAGACGACTCCTTATGTTTCAAGGAAATAAACTGAGGCCCAGGGAAGTTGAATGCCAGCTCCAGGAATACAGTCCAGGTTCTTTTCTGTCTAT